AGCAACGCTATAAAAAAAGCAAAAGTTCTAAATTTATAATTTTTTGTATTTTAACGCAAACTTATCGATATCACAGCTACATTATTTGCGTGATTTTTCTTGCGTCAGATTACGGGCCGATGAGTCCTCATCCAGGATACGGGATGACCGGCGTTCAACCCGAGTATCCCGGAAACACGTACACCGCTTACCCCACTGCAGGTTACAACTGTGGTGGAACTTACCCGGGTGGTCCGGTGACTTCCGGTTATCAGATTCCAGCGGGTTACACCCCGGCACCGTGCTACAGCATGCCACCCCCACAGCACACGGTTGGACCTCTCGATAAACCGTCCGGCAAGGACGACAGGTAGGACGCATTTCGTTATTACCCTTTCTTTTGTGGTGGAGTACCGCGATTGTAATTATTGGCGACACTTGTGGCTCATTGCAAACTCCTGTCTGCGTACTGTAGAGACGATTCTCTCATGCTCATCGGTCCGAAGTCGAAATTATCACTTGGAACTAAATGGTTGCGATAAGACTGTTACTCAGAGACGTTCTCAATCTCTCGATAAGATCTCGGTCTAAACACTCTGCCGTGCAAATCCCGTCGCGAGATATTCTCACCGCGCACTATTAGCACTTGACGCGGCTCTCTGTGATTATGAACTTGCGCAACTCACGTCGAATATACACGTTCGGCGATTTTATCACGATGAGACGCAAAAGCAGACAGCCGATTTTCAGCGCTGAAAAATGCGATGAGAATGCGGATATCGTTGTCCGTTGTTCGCGTGAGGTAGCATTATTAGAGAATACGTCCACACGTCGTGCAGGCGAGCATCATCGCGAGCTCTCGCCTTGGTACTTACTTGCCTTGCGGAAAGGATCGCACGAATCCTTCACGCGATAGACTCGTGGCCGAAGCTCGAAAAGACGTGGAGGCGGCGGCGGTGGCGGTGGCGGCGGCGGCAGCGGCGGCGGCATCGACGGCTAACATCGGCGCAGGGCGGGTGGAGGAGGGGGCAACTCGCGCATACCCACCTCCATTTTGTTAATTAAAGTAATTACTCTTCGTACCGAAAGTGCCAACCTTATTCTAATTGACGTGAAGCTCGGCGGTATGGAGAAGGCGCGCGGTTGGGCGTATAAGAAGAGGATGAGGCTCGAGTGGAGGGCGCGTTCGCGCGCGCGGGGCGAGAGGGTTGAGCGGGAGGGTTGCGGAGGCGAGGTAGGATAAGGTTAAAATGGGAGGTGGGGTATAATCAGTTGCCACCGCACTGGATTATGGGCCGAGACCTAGCCTCATCCCCCGCCGTGGGTTAGAACCCGGAACACACCTCCTCGGCTACCTAGCTCGAGGCAAAGCTGCTTTCGACCCTCTTGTAGCCTCACCGTGGTCCAAAATTCGACGCGTCGCGCTTCGCGGATCCTATAAGCGGTCCCGCGATGGGTAAACGCACGAGAAACGCGACTTCGTACGCATATTCCTAGCCGGAAGTTCAAGAACGCGATCATATTTTTAAGTATACTTTATTTCACAGAAAGAAACTTTATATTCGCAAATATAAATTTTTAAGCATATTTTTTCTGAGTGTACGCACTGAGAAGAAATACTGGGAGAAAGATTTATTTGTGACATAAAGTTTATTTCTGTGGATATAAACTTTATATCACGCAAGCAAATGTTCAAGTATTTTTTTCTCAATATGCATCAGCTTGCACCCCTGCATTCACAATGCCTGAAACAAGAGCTATAAATATCACATTTAATTTGCCTTTTATTATACAAAATGCCAAAATGATAAATTTCGACTATAAAACTATAAAATTCGACGAGATTTTACCTTGGTTAATGAATGTTTAGGCGAATGACTTTGCATATACACATATTCTCGTAGTGTGATCTGCGCTGGCTCTTACTTGTTCTATTTTATTTATTGGAAACTGTAAATGTCATATTTGAATATACGCAACAGTTACGAAGTTGTATCGGTTTCGCCTTGTGTTCTGGGAGAGGCTCGCGAAATAAGAGGTATACTCGGTCGTGCCGCAAAATTAATCTTCCCATGTCTGCTCTCCAATTGTGGCCTGTATCTTTATTGAAACGCTATAACGTGGAACACGTACGACCGGTCGAAACCTCGGTAAAACCAATCTATATCCGAACTTCAACTTTATTAATGTTGGCGGGCAATATAACTACCGCCCTTCGCGTTCTAACTATATTACCGACCCTCTTTCTCTCTCTTTGTCTCTCGAAAAAGTTTATTGGTACACTCCGATTCGGGTCAATCGCTCGAATGTACGACGGTAACAAACGCATGAGCCAGGCCACGAGAGAGGCGGATCTTTATTTCACCGAGGTGAATTTGTTCAATTTCGTTTAATCGTTATTTAGTGCTCGTTTGAACGTGAAAAAATGTTCACAGATCCCGGGCCGAAAAAGATTTTATCGCAATTACTATTTACATATATTTCTACGCTTCTTCTCTTCATGCGCGTCGACCATCGCGTGCCACGGTATTTGGAACCCTATAAAAGTCAGCAAGGCATATTACATGAATATCAGATACGTAAATTAACTTGAGATATATATTGAAATATCCGATTAAAATTAATTAAATTTTCAAACAGTGAGTCGCGACACACTAGCACACTATTGTGTTACACCGGTTAAGGAACACCCTTTCGAGCCAATCCTTTCGGCCGTGCTCATTTCTTCCGAGAAATTTTAGATGTGTATCGTTCAGATATGTTAGTTGCATGTAAAAAAAATAAGTTAAACGATCTCAACTCAAACGAATTCCTGAACTTGTACTGTCGGGCATGTATATATAAGCCAACTGGATCGAAAGGGTTATAAGGGGTGAATTGTAACGCAGCTCGTTGTTATCAACGTCCAAGACGGGGGCGACGGAGGCGAACGAAGGCTACAAAAACACGCGACGGTAGATAGGTAGTCCAGCGGCGTACCGGTGAATTGCACTCAAGTCTGCATCCGCGGGCTCTCGGGTGGCCGGCAATATCGTGGCCACTCAAGGGCCATCGAGGTTCCCGAGGCTTTCTCATAGTCGACGTCGGCTCGCCCATCTACGAGACTACGATGAGACCGGAAGCAAGAGGCGAAGCGCTCACCCCTCTGGTCGGCGCGCGTTCCTTCGGCCTGCTTCTCTGCTTCCTCGTCCTCCTCTTCCTCCTCCTCCTCCTTCGCCACGTTGCGCCCTTTTTCCCGCGTTTCGACATTTTTTTCATATCACGTCGTACACCGCCCTTCCACTCGCGCCCCGAGAGAGGGAAGTTACGGAACGCAATATAACTTTGCTCTTTAACTATTATAAGCCGTACGCGCGCGCTCTCTCTCTACGTGTCCACGTTTGAGAACATGACTGATGGTCGTCGGTCGCGCTCGGATGTAGACCGTGTCGAGGTTAAACGGCTTGCTCGAGTGCTCGACACGAGAGCCGTGTCATTCGAATCGTTACCGGCTAATTCGATGGGGAGGGGGGAGTGAAAGAACGAAGAGACAATTAATCGGGCGGAGATACGATCGGCGGATTCCTGGCGAATTCGCGCTCGCGTGTCGCAGTCGAGCAGCGTCGAACGGCGGCAACGTATCAGCCGGGTTAGGGAGTCATCGAGGACTCAGTAACCGGCCACAGGCTAAACCGGGAATTCCCAATTTCACGGTTAATGTTGTTCGGTGCAGTATGAGTGTGAGGAGGTACTCGTTGAATTTTGCGCCTCGGCCCGCCCCTCGTGGTCGCGACGGCAAGGAGCTGATACAGTGCCCCACGTCGTCCTGTGATGGCATGGGTCATGTCTCAGGGAACTACGCTACCCACAGAAGGCAAGGCAGCATCTCGACATTTACACCAAGACTTTGACGTGAACGCTCGATTATGTATATATCGATATATGGCGATGCAGCACGCACGCACGCACGCTACATATATACGTATACTGCGAGAAGAAGTATCCAAGAAATAGCAAATGTTTATTTGGTGGGTACTAATAACATATTTATTTATATACTAATATATGAAATATCTCTCAAGAAAATATACATTTTCTCAAAAACTTTAAGAAACCTTTTAGAATTTGAAGCGAAAGCAGTTGTTTGTGTCATTTAAACAAAAGGATGTGGATTTAAGTAAATGTATTATTAGTACCCACTAAATAAATGTTTCCTATTTTTTAGATATTTTTTCTCGCAGTGTACATACATGCATACAATACATATCCATTTGCCATACATGTGACCCTTATATACGCACACGTATACACACACAAATACACATATTCCTAAATTTATACTGGTCCTCGTTTTGGTCTCCCTCGACAAAGCTTCCAGTAGTCACTTACTACGTCCGAGAGCGCGGAAGAATAAGAAGATGTCCTGAAATTACACGTACACAAGGCGACATGAAGTAAATTTGCGAATTACATTTACATGGATGGTTTCTCTTGCATCGATGCATATTGGTGGTCCGTGGCGTAGTTGCTTCTTAAGTGTGTTGCGATACGAAACATACGTCTAGAAACCCCTCTCTTTCTCTCTCTTTCTCTCCTAGTTGAGTTGTAACGTGTTCGATATTATGTTGCCACATACATCTATATATGACATACGTGTGAATATCCAGTGGTACTATAGCTATCTTGCATAAGTATATGCGATATATAATTTTGATTTCTTTTTTTTTCTTCTCTCTTTCTCTCTTTCTCTCTCTCTTTCGTTACACACATTATTATCTACCTGTATCTCTCTCTTTTTCTCTTACTTCCTAGTTTTATATTTACCCCACGTACGTGCCTACCCACGATACATTTATGCGATATAACAAAGGTGTGTAGATGAGCCTCTCGTAACTGAATGAAACTCTCTTTCCTCCTTTCTTACTTTCATTTCCTCGCTGTTTTTACCCGACCCCTACGAAAGAAAAAGGGAAATGGCAAAATCAAAGCGCTCGGCGTTGCGGAGAAGTCGGCATTGCTGAAGGTTCACCCGCTTCCAAACGCGAAACTCGTTCGCTTTCGTACGCATATACGTAGTGATCGATCACTGACTACCCGTCCGTTTGAAAGCCGCTTTCGCCAGTCTCGAGTGGGCAGCTTCGTAGCGAACTGTTGTCGATGACCATGTCATAGCAGAACAAGTAGCGATCAGAGATCCACTACCGCGAGGCGGCGGAATCTCGACTTCGTGACACGAACGCAAAAGTCAATTGGCAATTGGCGAGTTTCATTGGGGTCAGGTGTGAGTGTGCTCCCTGCTCTCCCTTTCGATGTGTTCTTAGGGTAAGAATCCGATCCTTGCGATCAACGCGAGCCCGATAAGCGCGATTGATCTTGACGAGCGACACCTCATGAGTGATCCAACTGGAACACGGCGTTGCCATTTGCATGCTACCAACACGATCCGTTGTCCGCCCGCATCGATCGCAAAACAAAAGAAAGAAACGAATGAAAAGTTACATCCGCGCGACATTCGAGGATGTCCCCCGGAGCGTAAGACTCGAGCCGATCGTTGGCGTGCACGATCGAGAGCGACGTACTCGAACAAGACGCGAGTCTTAAGTCTCCCTTCCCCTGAATGTCTTCGGTCGAACTGGACGCAAGGCAAGTCGTCCAAGAAAGCTAAATCATGCTCGTGAAGGCAGTGCCGCTTCGTTCGTATGCACCGACGATTATAACTGTAGCTCTACGGCGGCAATTGATGAATGAATTCATGACGTAAAATGGGGTGGTGTGCGTCGTGTCACACGCATCACCGTGCGACTCGTAGAGACGGTTCACTGCGGTTCACTACGAGATGTTCGTCTTCGAAGTCTATGTTATCGTAGCCGAGACGTTGATCGTCTCCCCTTCGAGACGAACAGCTTATCAGGTCATGTGAGTACTCACGACGTCGTGGCAACGTCGCGTAAATTGCATGCGATGTGTTGCTGAAGCGATGGTTGGACGTTTCTGAGGTGTGCGTTCGTGGCCGGGGCCATGAGGATTAGCGCGTTGCGGAACTTCGCCGGGTCGTAACGGCGCGTTTGTTAAACTGCGGCGAGTAATCGAATATCCGCGGGTCGGCTGACCTGCCGCCGCGTCGGTCGGCGATGCACACGCAGCGTGCGGTCTTCATGGTGCTTTCGCAGCGCGTCGTAATAGAAGAGAGTCTTCTTTCCTTTGCAGTCTCTCCGGATGTCCGCGAGCCGACCGCTCGCAGATCCAAGCGCACTCCCAGGAGCTCAAGTGCCCTACGCCGGGATGCGACGGTTCTGGACACGTCACGGGAAATTACTCGTCGCACAGGAGTTTATCCGGCTGCCCACGAGCCAACAAGCCAAAAAGTAAACCCCGAGATGGCCAAGATTCTGAGCCCTTGAGGTCAGTCGACATGTGAGCGCGAATTAATTATACACTCTTTACTCCGATTGCACTTCCTCTCCAGCCGATTAACGCAAAGATCATTTGCCTTCATCATTTTTATTTTCCTCTTTTGCTTATATCTTTGACGGTACTCTCTTACGACCGTCGTATTATTAGATTGCATGCCACCAACGGGATCTGTCGTCCGCTCACATAGATTGCTAATACTTGGGTATTTTAAAAGAAGGTACGATGAACAGATATGATCGAATGTCTTTTCAAGTTTTATAAAGGGAAATTATTGCTTGTTTTTTAAATTTTTTCTTGGGCTTGAAGAGTGAATACGTTTCTGTCACGATGGATCAGATTTACTCTTTAATTTTGAGTGAAAATATTTACCTCACGATTCAGAATAGAGAATCTATTCTGCATGAGAGAAAAATTGCTCGAATTTGAATAAAATTTCACTCCAGGTAATTTCGAGAGTAGAATTTTCCGCTCAGATTTGGATTAATTCCGTTCAACAAATAAAAATCTGCGTTTTCGACAATTACGGAATTTTCGGTTCGCGTGACATTTGCTTCTTCTGACTTCAACGTCTGTCGCGATGTGACTGATACATCTTGCGAATCACAGTATGCAGTTGGCAAATAACCGAGGAAAAAAGATCGACAAGGTCGACATTAATCGGCCTTCAAAAAAGAAATATTGTATCTGTTGAACAAATTACGCGTTAACACAACAATATGTTACGTTGATACAGTTACTGATTGTATTGCAATCATTGAGTTCATTGATAACTCATCGCAGCGATTGTATAATTTGTACAATCGACGAGACTTTTGCTTGAACGAATTTTGTTCGTTCAAGCAAAGTCTCATTAGACCAACCATTTTTTTTCTCAGTGTAGAATCGATAAATGAAGGATATACAAATTAAGACGGCGTTACGGAAAGAGGACGAGGGTTATCGCAGACGCTCGATAGGCTTTGGTTTCAAGGCGCGCGATTACATCTCGCAAGTTCTGCAATTTGCGGGCGCGGCGGTAATCGCGATCTCAATTTGCGCTTTCGTCGCGTTCGCACGTTGCACGTAGCACAGCTAACGCAGGTATCTTCTCGACCGCATTGCACGTACCGGGAGGCTGTCGCACGAGACCGAAAGGGGAAATCCCGTTCCCTCGTAACCGCATCCCAACTCCCAGCCCGAATTATATCCCGCGCAAAGGCGAAGACGCTGACTAATAACTGGCGGTTTCCGCTCGTTTCACGCTCGCTCTGTGCGGATGGATTATGTGGTGTTGGTGACGGTGGTGTTGGCATTTTGGACTACAGATGTCCAATCCCGGGTTGCGACGGGTCCGGCCATGCCACCGGCAAATTCCTGTCGCACCGCAGGTAAGGCTCGTAGGAATCTTCACGTAGCTCGAACCTCGCTGCGGGGCAATCGCGCGCTCCTCTTGCCGACGACCGGTTAATCTCGCTTGTTCGAATATTTTCGGTCTGACGCCACTTTCTTCCACGTCGACTGTATATAATGAAATGTCCCTCTCACAAAATTGGTCGGCACAACGGATATTGCGTGACCAACTGTCGGCAATAGTAACGCGGAAATTCTTGATGACGCTTTGATAAACAAATCTAATGATATTTATGGCAATCAATTAATCTTGCTTGTTCGAATATTTCGGTCTAACACCACTTTCTTCCACATTGATCACAAAATTCAATGTCGTGAGTTTGTGACGCAATTAATCGATCTGACTATTACAATCGAGATACGTGTATTACATGACCAACTGTCGTGATTGCATTGCAATAATAACGCGCGGATTCTTAATAACGTTTTGATGAGTGAATTGACGATGTGCGCAACGGCTGATTAAACTTGTTCATTTGAATATTTTCGATCCAACGTCACTTTTCTCCACGTTGATTACAAAATTAAACGGTTCCTCTGACAATTAGCCGATCCGATAATTATGTATAATCAAGATATATGTATTGCATGACCTGGCATTTGCAACTGTCGCGATTACACGGCTATAATTACGCGGAAGTCCTTGATGACGCTTCGATGAATGAACCCAGTGATATTTACAGCGTCAGGTTAACCTCACTCGTTTGAAAATTTTCGGTCTAACGGCAGTTTTCTCCACGTTGATTACAAAATTAAACGTTGTGAGTTCCTCTGACACAATTAGCCGACCCGATAATTACGTATAATCGAGATACGTGTACTGCATGACCCGGTATTCCCAGCTGTCGCGATTACACGGCAATAATTATGCGGGAATCCTTGATGACGCTCTGGTGAATGAGCCTGACGGCGTTTACGGCGACGTTCGTCTAACCGCCCGTAATCTTCACGCATCCTTATTTCCTTATTACAGCGCGTCTGGCTGCCCGATTGCAAACAGGAACAAGATGCGGGTGCTGGAGTCTGGCGGCACGGTCGAGCAGCATAAGGCGGCCGTGGCGGCCGCGACAGCCATGAAGTTCGAGGGTGTCAATTGCCCCACGCCTGGATGCGACGGAATCGGCCACATAAACGGCTCTTTCTCGACACACAGATCCCTGTCGGGCTGCCCGATAGCCGGCCACGCCGTGAAGAAGCCGAAATTCGAGGATAATATGAGCATGTACGGCAAAGGAATCACCGGTGAGGATCGAGTTGCCTCTGATGACGCCTCCTGTGGCTGTCGATACTTAACGATCGAAGAATAAAACTGTCAGAGCACGCTGTGCGTGAGACCAGTCGTTACGAGGAATCCGATCGAATCTCACTGAATGAGCGAGACCGCGTGAGCTCTTCTCGCGCGCAGCTGCCAAAATTGATAACTAGCGCGACACGTGTCTCACATTAGCACGCGATAGAGAGAGAGAGAGAGAGAGAGAGAGAGAGGGAGAGAGAGAGAGAGAGCAAATGTGTTCTAGAGTAGATAAGACAGTTTAAGTTGGCCCTCTGTTCTTTTCCACTATGCTTGCGCACCGTGCTCGTTCAGGAGCTCACAACGTCGTCGACAGGAACGCTCACATGTCTGTCTCTTCCCTGCGGCGTTCGCGCGATGAAATTAACAGTCCCGACGTTGAAAAGAAAAAGGAAAACAAAAAAAAAAAAAGAAAAAGAGAAGATCGCACTCCGTGAATTTCTCACGCAATGAGATCGTTCGAGTTCTCTGGACGAGCGCGCTGCTAAAACATACGGAATTATGTACCTTTCTTTGTAAACTTGTGCATATCTAACCTTGTACTTGATCCCGTGCTATGCCATACTCTGCTCTTCACGCAATGATGTGCTGTCATACCAATGAGAGTGACCCCCCCTTTTCCCCATCCTTCCGTTTTTTCTTAACTCTCAAAGAGTTCGTTTTCTTGATTTCTTCTCTTTAAGCATTACTTTCCCGTTCCGACTGTTTACGTTCTCTCAGCGACGACGACGAATCGATCCAGATTTGCAAATAAAGAAAAACGAAAAAAAAAACGTCGCGATCGATTGGAACGCGAAACGGTGGAAGGAACGCCACGAATATAAGCTCACGAACGAAAGAGAAGAAGCACCCGCCCGACAAAAAAAAAGAAAGAAAACGAAAAAAAAGAATCACACATACGATGTAGTATTGTACTTTGTGTAAGTCGTTTCTTCTTTTCTTTCTTTTCCTTCCTTCTCGATTCGATCCCGCGCAGGTACCTCTTCCTTCGTTATGTACAAGACAGAAATGTAAAACCAGAAAACCAGCCGTATGTCTTAATGAAATGGACAATAATATATTCTGATTTATTCTGGGATCACGATCAGCTCCTTTCCTGTTGAGCTTTGCGGAGCACGATTACTTTTGAAGGTAAGGGACTGACGTATTCGCCACTTGTTTCTTATGTGTTTTCGGTGTTACATACAAGATCCACACACCAGTATCTTTTTTTTTCTTTCATATTCTTTACGAGACGACGTCCGAGTGTTGGCAACGATTCGTGCGGAATTCGCGTTCTCTATGTCTCCGGCACCATCTCAATTACCTTAATAAAGCTTTTTTTCTCTCGCTCATCCACTCGCGCGGCGCGCACATCAACGCCAGCACTCGGTGCCTGCCGTCTTTATCTCTCTCTTTTTTTTTTCTTCTATCTGGTATGATGGCACCTCACGCTAAATCCCCGAAAGACACCCCGACATTGTCCCGATCATACCACTCCCACGGCACTCCTGTCAGGTTCGTGCGTCTCTTATTGAATCGGAGCACACGCTTGATTGAACGGGCCTCAAAATGTTTCTCGCTTTTCCGCCGAGATGCGTTTGTCACGACTTTTGGCACGAACCGTACGCAGAAGAAACCGTATACCGTCCCATTATCTCGAGACAAAGCTCAATTGCAGTGACTTGGGCCGAGCGAAGCGAAGGGACGCGCGCGCAGGGCGGCGCATTCGGAGCATTCTGTTTCAAATCCGTATCGACGCGATACATGTCTGGTCTCCTCGCGAACAAACAAGCCGCATTGCCTAAGTCGCTGCCTGAACTCTGCCATGTCCTTGGCGTAATTATTTATTACATGCTCGCTAACATTGTATCCATATGTATCGCGTCAAAAGAGTACCCCGCAAACCCGTTCGGACTTTCCGACCAAAGGCTTTCCGATCGTTACTCTCGAGCGAAAGCGAGCGTTACCTTTTTATTACGGAACAAGCCTTCCACGATGAAAAAAAAAAAAAGAAAACGCTTCCGTTCGAGTACGGTAGAATTCGTGCGAGCCTCCGTCAGGGTCGGGAGGCCTCGAATCGTGCCGGTTTCCAGTGGTTTCTCACGAGCGCGTAAAAGAGCGCTCATTTCAATTTCGCGATCGTCGTTGCTCGCGCGACACGACGAAAATGAGTGCGAATCGCGACGTATTGTATATGTATGTGCGCATTGCGCTTGATGTGAGAACGAAACAACTGGAAACCGGGCGGCACGATTCGCTTTCTGCCGTACGACGGACAGTCTACCAAACTGGACCGTGTCTGTCCTTGTCCTCAGGGGTAGAAGCCGGTGGTCCGGCTCACGGGGGTGCGGTGGGCACGGGTCAGGGTAACTCGAGCGGTAGCGGGACCGCCGGTGCCCAGAGCGAGGATCTCTACACACTGGAGGCTGAGATCACCGAGCTCCAGAGAGAGAACGCCCGGGTCGAGTCGCAGGTCCTACGCCTGCGCTCGGATATCACAGCCATGGAAAATCAGCTCAAGCAGGGTGATAAGGTCAGTGCCTGCTCAATCGGTAACAGTATACCCAACGCTGAATAAATAGGGAACCCGAAAGATGGGCCGATCAGGGTCTTATCATGGTTACGTCATTCAGATTTTCCTCGTTTGAATGTTATCGGATTTTGGTATTTGGAATGAATTTTGCTCGCGCCGTCGCTTACCCTTGATCGGACACCGGATGGTGTTCCCTGTTTCACGAAGAAATTCCATGGGGTGCCACGGTAGCTTATTTATTATTGACCATACGTTGATATCGTGTTAAAATAACCGGATGTTGATTAGTCTATTTTGTGCATTGAAAAGGGAAGAAAAAGACAGCGCGGAAAATTCTATTTCGAAGTCAGACGTGTCGCTTTACTGAAGGCGAAGTAGACCGAAACGTTCGGCCTACTTTGGCTTCGACCTACGCACATCCGAATTTGAATTTGATCACGGACACTTATTTGCACCTCTTTGGTCCATTTGCCTCAACTCAATCGTACATCTAAGAGCTTTCACCGTATCTTCTCTCAGTTTTCACTTTTGCACCTTCAGCTAGCAGTTTCTTGTTGCATCTTTAGAAACACGAGACTTTTAGTTGTGTTCATCCGAACGAATCGACTCCTCATGGTCGTTCCTTATCAGTCGTGCGCATGTATGGCCCCAATAGAAGCGACTTATTCGCAGAGTATCGTTGACATTGACGGAAAGACGTTATCACCTTTCTCTCTCTCTTCTTGCAGGAAACGTCAACGATAGCTCAGCGTAACAACAATCTGACTGAATACTACCAGTCGCTGCGCGACAACATGATCTCCCTGCTGGAGCATGTGCGGATACCGAACGCCCCGGGCGGACCGCAGGAGAAGATAGGCCACGAGAACTTCGACAGTTACCTGACGAAGCTGCAGACTCTGTGCACCGCCGACAGCTACTGCACCGACGAAAGCAACCGGCCGATCTACGAGACGGTGAAGACCGCTCTGCAGGACTTTACGGTCCTGCCGACACCCATCTGAGACCATCCTTAAGGCTCGACGATTGGGTACTGAGAGCGTCGCTCGGAGCTCGCGCGACCTACGAGCGGTTTGAGCTCGTGTTCGCATCGCTGATCGCAGTCATAGTTCACCTCCTGTTCACCGAGAGCACCGAGTGGACGAACGGCGCGAGAGACGCCTCGGCTCCGAGGAGAGACGACCGAGTTCCGCGCGGGATCGGCCTACGACCTTGGGAGAAACCCGACTTCGTGACGCGTGATTCACCGACGATGATGCCGCGGCGAGTCTCGACCATGCGACGTCACATACGTAGAACTCGCGTGGATTTCGGAGTGCGTTCCGCGTCTCGCGAAACGCACCGCCGCGATCGCGTGCGAGCAACGACGTCGGTGAAAGTGACGTCGTGGCCGGCCGAGCACACCGGCGCGCATAGGCTGCCTGCCCTGGCAGTGAGCGTTGTAACGGCATCTAAACTGGATGACGGCTCCGTGAGCATCCATCCGAGCTGTAAGCTTGACGGACTGTTACTACTACACGCGGAGCGACGTTGCTCATTAGCGATATATCTTTTGTACATAATGAATGAATCAAGAGTGTCACGATCGACGGGTCGCAACGGCGGTGGCGGCCGTCGTCGCCGCCGCTGTCGCCGCCGCCTCGTGTAATGTAAATACACATACATACATACACATACACATACGTGTACACACACACACACACACACACACACACACATAACATACATGGACATACACCACGGGAGAGGAGAATGCATTTATATATTAATCGACAGGTCGATGGTTAACGCTCTAAGTCGTGTAAAGAGGATAAGTGAGAAGAGAACAAGATTGACCTTAGCTGTATATCGAATTCTTGCCGCTGCTGCACTTCACCGCGCTGTGTAACTGTTATTGCCGTTTCGAGAACGATCGCGCGCGTCCGCGCGACTTACGAGGACACCGGCCTGCGTGTCCATCCAATGACGCTTCTGTGCTGAACCGAGGGCTACTTATAAACCAAGTTTATCGGCTAACCATTTACCAGCTAGTCACTATTATTATTATTATGATTATTACTACTACTACGATATTATTACTACTACTGTAACTGTTACAACCAGCCGGATCGTTTTTAGCGACTAATCCAATCGTCACATTATTGCTACCACTACTCTTACTACTGTCGATAAAAAAAAAAGTATAGTCACGAGTATACCAATGCATTTATATAATATTAACGAGTCTACGAGAGAAAAGTGCGACGCGTTGTGTCCATAGGTTGTACATATAGTGACAGAGATATACAATTATTATAAGTGCGAGAATCGCTGGCGATAATGAGCTGTGCGATTTTGATAGGACGACGAGGGCAAAGTAGGAAGGGAGGGAGAGAAACAGACAGACAGAGAGAGAGAGAGAGAAAGAGAGAGGAGGAGGAGAAGGAGGAGAGAAAGAGAGAGATAAAAGGGGATAGAGATAGAAGGGAAAAGTGAGCGTTGGCGGGATTAGAAGAAGCGTGAACTCTTCTTCATCGATAGATGTCAATGATAAGCATAATGCAATGTCGAATTTATAACTGTCCGAGGCGAATCGCGGGTGATCCGACGATCGTTTCGTCAAGGACGCGAAGAGGAATCGAGATTGAGCGTGTATGTCCCTTTGGGATACGACGCGGCCGAATCGGAGGATACTTGTTCGTACGTGCAATAATTTTAGGATGCGTCGCATTCTCTCCTGTACATTCGCGAATTACTTGCCGCACCGTGAGGTCACGTGTACATTTCGCATCGGCGCGGTTGTTACTGTTTCGTTGATCAATTTATGTTCCTACTTATTATTATGATTATTATTACTATTATATTGCGCGTTCGCGTTTCGCTGCTGGATCGAGAAACGAGGGGAAAGCTACGAGAACCTGTAAATACCAAAAGTGTCCAGAGCGCGAGTCGTAGAAATCGTCGCTTCTCGTGGGAACCGCGTTAATGTTACGAGTGTTATTATGATTATTATCGCCGGTTTTACCCGCCCGGAACTTTCGTTTTCGCGCTGGGCTGACCTTTCACACCCACGTCGATCGACATAGATGCCAAGAAAGACAAAGAGAGAGAGAGAGAGAGAGAGAGAGAGAGAGAGAGAGAGAGAGAGAGAGAATGTCAACACAATGTTGACATAATTGGCAGCAATGAGCGATGAGAAACCAGGCGATCTAATCGACGTCGCGAATGCATGTCCCGTCGACCATGGACGGGACATAAACGAACGAGCTAACTATAAATAACAAGATACGTGAACGGTGCCGTCGGCGATTGTATCAACTCATTACGCTAATCTACAATAATTGATATTACTGGCAAAATAATGTGGCACAATATCGCATTATCGTTGTAATGACGTAAACGCGTGAGATATTTTTAATATTCTTATTCCGAACTGTTATCACAATGAGACACACGCGGTGCCGGAGATAAGGTAGCAGACATGTCGATCGGATAATCAGTGATCGGCGGCGTAAGGCTGCATTACGTTAAGGTTATACTGAGTTCGCTCCAAATGTGGGTACGGGGTGCATGTACATAGAGAAAAGTCGAGAAACGGAAAAAGTTATACGGGAGGAATTCATTGTTCGCCTGTGAGGCCGACGAGGTGGCGGAGGAAAAAGCATGCAGAAGAAGTAAATATACTTTAACCAAACCACCGTGTAGTGAGAGTAATAATAAACTAAAGATAGCGATAGTCGACCGACAATTACGAATAATCTCGACGTTATAATTATTCTTGTCACTATCATTATCATTATAATTACGGTTATTATTGTCACTATCGTCAGGCGATTCTTTTACTTCGACTTTGGCGCGATTGACGAGCACGAAGGTGGAATAACGAGCGACAATGTGGGATGAATAGACTAACCAACAATCGACTGTGACTACATTTTGACTTTCCCACATCACCTCCCGCGTTCCGTTGCAATTATCATTGATATACTCGGCGGTGTCATTATTCGTATCATTATCGTCGTCATCTACTAGTCATGTGTGTGATCATTACTGTTAATAACTATTATGATTATCATTATTATCATTTTTATTATTAGCATTATTATTTGATTATTATTATTATCTTATGATTGGTATTGCCAGTTCAATTTATCGCCAGTCTCTATTGCCGTTACGTTTTATCATTATTGTGATTATGATTGTTGCCGTTAATGAAATTCTACAGGTACATAAGTTCAATAACATGCTTTAAGTAAGTATAAATGTTACTCCGATTGAATAAAGGGTATTTATCGATGAACACTGATTATTCCCTCCACACCTTGCGGTGAAACACGTTGCGCTCTTCAGATACTCGTTTAACGAGAGCTGAGATGAGATATGTAAGGAAAACTAATTTGACATGCGCGTACATGGTCATACCGACTTGGTAAATGCATATACGTTTGCGTCATCAAATTGCGCCTAAGGTAACAATGAGTCATCTCCTGAACTACCTAAGACTTTGCACGAAACAATCATAAGAGAAAAAAGAAAGAAAGAGAGAGAGAGAGAGAGAGAGAAAGAGAGAGGAGGCGCACATAGGAGGACGACAAAAGATATTCGCGTAGAAAAAAGTTTCGTATATTATATTTGCATTTTCGTTGTAAAAAAAAGTCTTACTTTACAAGCATCGCCGTTAGGTTCGATAGTGTTTGCTTCGTAATATCTACACGTGTGTACATATGCGTGTGTGTACATGTATATATATACACATACATACATACATACATAATGTAATATTGTATATCACAATAAAATGGACGTGTGTGAATGGCTTTCGCATGAGTATGCCGTGTGCGCGCGCGTGTGTGCGTATTTAAAGAGACAGACACCGAGATAATACACGAGAGAGAGAAGATCGTTCTTCAGTAAATCACGCGCGCAGCTGAGTTCGCAAATGCTCTATTACTATGATCCTACTTCGGATCATCGTGGGATGCGATTCTCTTCGAACGCGTATCGCATGCCTAACTACGTCCGGGAGTGAGAATATCCGGCGGAGCGCTTTCGAGCGCCGCTCGAGATGCGAACTCTTAATGCGGTGCATAATTGAGCCGCTCGAATTCCGGGACGTAACGTGAGCGAAATTTGGGAGTCCGATAAGACTCGACGAAAGACGCGATGAATCAACAACGCAGACAACGACCGAATTCTCGGCGGGAACTCCGTCGATTTTACATACGCGTTATCGTACATGAAATAAAATCACGCAATCATCGGAGAGGTGGAGAAAGAGAAGTTGCGCGTTCGTTCCGTCGGGTTAAATTTAGGACTCTGTTATTTCTGCGGACCCACTCCGAATCAATCAATCAGTCAATCAGACGAGCGGCTCAAATGGCGTTATTAAATCGAACCGCCGACCACGAGAAACGAACGGAACGTCCGAGCGCAGAAAGTACTTGCTTCGATAACTCGTGGTTGCAAAACCACAGTGAGTAATCTACAGAAATCGCAGTTATCGTGAGATGACGACTGCTGGCGGCGTTCTCGTCGAGATAATCATCGGATTATGTTCGTAAATGTAAAAAAAACGAACGAAATAAAAAGCATGTAAATCTGTACTAAACGGTGGCCACATATTTTTATGAATAAAGTTGTGCAGCGCTTATCACAAATTAAGAGATACCGCTGACGCGTTTGCGCGTTGTAATCAATTATGACAGGAGTTGAAATGGTAGTATAGGGCTTGAAAATAAATTTGATTAACATAACATTTAAATATCATTATCCTGCCGTAGTTTAAATTACGAGCTTGTACACTTTAAAGGTTTAAATATATCCCTTTATTACCTCGCAAACGTGCGTCAACAGTGTCTCTCAATCGTGACAACCAGGAGTGCTGCACAATTTCATTTGGAAGAATATGTAGCCACCGTTCGAGTATACAAGTTTGCAATTGTACATTGAATGCCGATACGTTATTATGCATCGTCTCTCTGAGCGCACAACTTCACGGAATATCTGTCGAACTTTCACGCAAATGAGAGGAATTAGGGAAATCGGGAATCGTGACGTAAATGAAAACTAGAAAAGCCGTAGATCTTTAGGCCGTCTTCGATGAACTCTAGTGAAATGATGCCTCGTTTTCTTCCGATTATACATAATGAAACTTATAACGTACAAAGGAAGAGTTTACGGTCCCGAGAGCCGAGTGAACGTCGGTACCAACGATTCACACTGTCCGATGATTAATAATTTAAGCAGTCGACAGTTAAAAATGTCGCAGAGAGATCCTCGTTTGATTCTTCCTCGTGAAGGTGTTGAACGATCTTCAAATGTCTCAAAGATCCACCCCTGGCAAGATCGCGTCTTACGCCGCTAAATGCACGTTCGATCACGCAATGTCTCGCAATGACGAGATCGAACAACGGAATCGTCGTGCGATCGCACTGATTTAATCGCATTGCCGATCGCTCTTCGCAGTAGACGACAATACATCGGTTCTCCGACGCGCTGCGAACCTCCATATTCATTGTGGTCTCTATTCCCAGCCTTGTGATCTCACCTAAAATAGGAAGAAAACGACCGATTCAAAGGATTTGCTAAGTTTCCTCCTATGAATTTAGAGGAACGTCGTGCCGCCAATATTAGACTCAAGGATGTCGCAGACATGATTAAAGCCAAAGGTACTTCAGAATCAGTTTCATCAGATGAAGATTAACGACGAAGAGGTAAGATTACTAATAATCGAGATTAAAGCTCTTGGCTGCTCGCCGTGGAACTCTCCACTGATGACGTCAGAAGCGAGAAAATATACGATAGAGGTTCCTGCAGAACGTTGAAATAAAAAGATACGTCTTTTTATTTCTATATATTTTGCAAGATTTTTTTTAACGTGTGTTTTCTCGCTTCTGACGTTTCACAAGTCAAGATGACCATGACGAGGAGCCGGCAGATCTTAATGAAAGAGGATTCGTCTCGGAACAAGCAAAGTCAACCTTGTCCTGCGACTTGTAGCATCGTAGATATTTAACATCCGGAGATGCAGGATCGTTATTGTTGTGTCGCATTCTGTATCACTGGTCTTACCTCGCATACGGCGGTGGCGGCGTGAGGGTTGGAGAAACGATGGCGATGGTCGTCGGGATAATTTGTCCTGAGGATAACGGCGGTGTGCCTCCATTGCTTAGCCTGACTAATTGACTAGGATTCAGCTTGATAGCGTCATCGTAGCTTGGTGGCGCGTCCGTTACCGCCTCGTAATCCGGTGGCTTCTGTCTCGACATGCTGGACGGCTCCTCGATGGAGATCACGTGGATCGGGTCGTCGATCTTTAAAAGGAGACAATCGTTTGACTTACAATTAACTTCGCAATGTCATGGAATTTTATTACGTAACTTCGCGAGCCTACGGAGTTTCGCGTCATCGTGCGCGCGCGCGTCCTCTGCGAAGATCGACTCGGGGAGTTCCCCAGCGTTCATAGCGTGTCTCGTCTCGACTTCGCCGCTTAATTTTGAGGTTTTGTTGTTTCGTCGGTAATTAGCTTCATTTCATTTGTCGACTCGGCTGATCGGCAGAGGGATTATTTAACTCGCTAGAAATCCTTCGGGAAAAATCGCACGGGGAAAACACTGAGAATATCACTTGTCCAAATACGGTTTCCATAAGGAAATATTGATGTCATTTTTTGCAAAATAATACATGCAAAATGCTGTTAGGGTAAACCGATCACAGAATAAGTTTTGAGACAGTTGTCGTTAGTCCTTCGTCTCAAATGAGCTGTTTTGTCGCGCCACAGATAACTGGATAGATAATGCATTAAAAGTTGCTGTTGTTACATGCCAATCGATACAGTTCTCACAATACTTACATGATACCTACATGGAGAAAACAGTATGGTTGGCCCACACATTCTTTAAATGCTTGTAGTGAGCATGGCGCTCTGGAAGTGGTACACTAATTTTCTTTCTTGTCTGTTCATAGTTCAATGTTTGAGCGATACTATCTCAATACTATATGGCGTAGACAAACCTTACGAGTCTCTCAATCATAATATTTTCTCTAATTTGATCACAACATAGAGAAAAAGAAAGCAATATTCCTTTGACTGAGACAACCATATATATGAGGATGTACTAACTGAACATTACACGGAAAAAACAATATGGTTGGCCCGCATAAATCTAATTCAATATTGAATCTGATTGGCACAGCCAGATTTATGTGTGGGCCAACCATACTGTTTTCTCCATGTACGTATCATGTAAGTACTGTGAGAACTGTATCGATTGGCATGTAACAACAGCAACTTTTAATGCATTATCTATCCAGTTATCTGTGGCGCGACAAAACAGCTCATTTGAGACGAAGGACTAACGACAACTGTCTCAAAACTTATTCTGTGATCGGTTTACCCTAACTTGAAATCACATCAATTTTCTCTCCAACCGTAGAGAATGTCGATGTAGCAAAAACAGCAGGTTCCTTCGTGTTCAGAACTCCTTAACCTTGGATGCTTCGCAAAGTCCCGACACGTAGATTTAGCGTTCGCGCCAGATTCAGAAGGCGCTTTCGCGCCGAAGAATATGTCACACGACTAATCATCGTGAAGCCACTCTGTTGCCCGTGTCTATTTAAAGTATCCGGATCGACGTGCCGGCCCCGTGGTTCCCGCGATACTCTGCGCGCTGCGTTATAGGGATATTCACCCGGAAGTGCACATCGCGCTATATTCGTCGTAGGTCGTCTATAGATATCTACCTACGTACCTGGCTCGCTCTCCCTCTCTGCCTTTGTCTCTCTCTCTTTCTCGGCTACTGCTCTTCGGAAACATTGTGTGTGGATTTACTTGAATGTAAGTCGCGAAAGGGCGAGCTCGAGATACATATAGGGTGACGCACGAGACAGCAACGAGCGCGCGCGCGGCTGACGAGAATAGCCCGGGTTATTTGTAGCGATAAAGAAAGCTTCGCTGGAAAATTGCATAATGAGCCTAAGTGGAAACCTGAGGTGAACGACTGTGACCCCGTCGCGTCGGCGGGTCCTCCTTCTCTTCGTGTGGCGCACGAAATTTCTTTCTCGGTAAAACTCGCCCCCGGGGGTTATCGCCATGTAATGGACGCGACTACGAGTCGCTGAACATTCGGAGAATCGATCGCATGTTTTTTTGTTGTGTGTCAGATATGGAAATGACGTTCCTCTTTGTCGTGTGCGGTCCAGAGCTATTCAGAGCTGCGTTCAGCAGAGAAAGTTGTTCTGCAACTGTTTTGTGAATCTAACCGGTACATGCCATCGGATTCACTCAAGATTAAGAACTTAAACCGGTCAGATCCACGAATTTTACAACAATAAAGCAGCTTTCTCTGCTGAACGCAGCCATTACACTACGTCGTCTCCGCGTGACGTCACGGTAATTGGGTCGCGAGAATAATGTAATGCTGAGCGTAATTGAGGTCGTTGCGACGTGTGTCTACCGCGTAAAGCACCATAAGAGATATAACGATCGATGGTGGCTCGCCGATACGTAAGCTCCGTCGAACGACGAGGAAAAATCGAAATTCGACGAACAGTCGGGAACTCCTACGAGGAACTGGTCGAATCGATTTTATCGTGGCGAGAAAGAATTCGAAATTATGGCCGTGACGCATCGTGTCGTGACCCGCGTATGACATCCGACTCTGTCGATCTGTTATTCGCGGGAGAGTTCTCAAGTGTAAATCAGATAAGCGCGTCACTTCTTCTTACGCGACAGAAGATATCATCTTGATAAGATGATATCTTTCTAGTTATCGCACGTCCACGGAAAAATTAACAATGAGTATTGATTTATTGAAATTTCTTAGACCTCCACGAATTGCATGACGAATTGCATCTCATGATGACTGGGGAACACCCCGCCTAAGAATGGATAAGATTGCGTAATGTGGTATCGCAGCAGATGGCGAAGACAATATACGATGCGCGTGCATAATTCGATGTGTCATATGTGTCATTCGTTCGCGATACAAACGAACGATGGACGCGCGCCATGTATGTGTGTGCGCGTCTCTGATTGAATTCGAAAGTGTGATGAGAAAAAGAGAGAGAATCGCGCGCGTTTTCCCATGATTGAAAATGTTCCTTCTGTTTCCTCTTCTGTACTGAATTTAACCGCCGTTGGTTACGATTTAAGAACTGCCATCGAAACTATGAAACGCTGATATACTCAAGGATAAATGTCGCGATATATTTAGCCTGGTTTATGTTTCCGGATGAATATCCTTACAGCAACAATCGACATTAGAGACTGCCACGTGACCTCCTTTGTGGCGTCGAGCCGACGTGCGCTATATCGTTTTTGCATATACGATGTAACGAAGCGTAAAGAACGGACGGGCAAACATTTGAAAATGAACAAGCCGTTTATTTTGCCGCGGGAATATTCGCCGAGGGAAAAAAAAATATGCCACGTGATGCAAATACGAGCCGGCCAGGTAGATTGGAAAGAGGAAAACGATGCGTGATGTATTACAAAGAAAGGTGAAGGTTCATCGAGTCCTCGTTAGATTCTGTTAGAAGATTAATTATTGCGAATATCGAGTATTGCACGAAATCTGTATTAATGGATCGACAGTATAAAATCTATATGCACATTAATGATCTATTGAGGCTATTCTTCTGATAAGCCCACGTCGATTGCGCGAATGGCGAAATATCGAGCTGACGTTACAGCGGCGCGAATCACTCTCGCGTTAGCAACAGATACACGCGTACTGCTAATAATAGTAATAATACTGATTTTATAAGGAAAAAGAGGGAGAAAAAGAGAGAGTGTGTGTGTGTGTGTGTAGTCAACTTCAGGAAAGAGCGAGTCATCCGCGGAAACATTCGTAATATTTCCGTCATTCGAAAGGAGGAAACGAGATGGTGTAGCGTGACGCAATCGCAATTCCGGCCTGTTTCGTGGATGACAGACTCGACGATTTTTATTATCGACTTAGACGATGTCAGTCCGGCATGAAGAAATGCTGGGCTGAAGATAGAACGTCGGCGAACAGTATTCGTCGCACGGCGATGATTTATGAACGCTGCGATTTATTATCTGATATGAAAATTTGTTCCCCTTTATCTCTACTTTCGGATCTCTCGCTTCGATTTGACTGCGCTCGAGAAGAAGAGGAGAAGGAGAGAGGGAAGGAGGAAGGAAGAGAGAGAGAGAGAGAGAGAGAGAGAGAAGGAAAGAGAGAGAAAAGTACGAACTATAGATCGCGGACAAAGTGTATTATCATGCTTCTTCTTATTCTGTCCATCGTCGGTAGTAATTGCGACTTACTGCTACGCTAGAGTATATCTATAGATAATACGCGCTCTCTCCTTGTGGTCTATAATAGGGGGTTGACCCGGATCGATCTAAAAGCGTTTTAATCCTCGGGGCCTTCAACCGCGCCGACGACCTGCATCCTTGTGGATTGCCGAGAGAACCCTGAATGCGATCGGTATCTATCGCTCGTCGTTCAGTGATATTTCCAAATGATAATTAGCAAAACAGAGTTTACAAAAACAGGAAAAAGAGCTAGTTTTCACGTTTCAAGTTCCACGTAGCACTTTGCACTAATCACTCTGTACTGTGCACACTAGAGAAAAACAAATACTTATTATTTATTTGTGGAATAAAAGTCCGTATCGCAGAAATCGACTTTATTTCAGAGAATTAAACTTTACATTCCACGAATATATTTTCAAGTATTTCCTTCTCAGTATACCCTTCAAATTTAATTCCAATCCGTTCGCGAAATTGTGTTTCTATTCTCTCTCTCTATTTCGACGGCTGCGAGCGAATTGGCTTTCTCCGAATCGACAGATCGAGAATTACCTGTGCCGTGATCGGATGATTCGTGTGTTGCATATGCGTGCTCGTTCTAGTTGGCGGCGCATGCAGCCAGCAGCACATCGCGGCGCAAATGAGAAGAGCCCCGGCGACTATGCAGGCGACACCGACATATCGTACCGGCTCGACGTAATTCTCTGCCAGACCCAACCAGTTTATAAGGGCTCCGATGCACAGGAGGACCATCCCGTACTGATACGGGCGCTGTGACCTCCGAGATTCCTCCAAAGACATAGCTGCAACATGAAAATATACCAAAAGATTGTCTCGCGAAACTTTGTCGACGATGTGACGAATCCGGCGGAATTTCCATACGGTAACTAAGCATTGAACAGAAGCGCTCTTGTGATCACGAGTCTATAGAGGTGCGATATTGGTATTGTCGACATATACGCAATGTCAACATACAATGTCTAACCGACATTGTATGTCCGTTTAAGCTTGCGAGGCATTCTTGCAAAACTTGGCCGCTTAAGACGTTTGTAACTCGAGTAGAAAGAGTCTCGTCACATTTGAGATCTCTCTTCCTTTTTTCCAGAATGCTCTCTTCAAGTGTGGCCCCCCTTGTTTTCGAATCGCTCTCCGTATAAAGTCCAAGATAACCTTATCGCGCCGAGAATCGCTTTTATTGGAGTACCAAGCACTTGAACTACCTCAAAGTAGAGAACCTCGAACCTCCCGTACAGCTAGATTACCGAAATTCACTTGATAACTTGCTGATAACGGCGATCGATAAGATGTACTTGGTGAAGTTATTTCCACGCAAAAACCGCATGACTTCGTCGACGACTCCGCGATTGCACGTTGTTACTAGCGTCAATAAATGAGAGTATGTTGCGATGTAAATGTGTTAAAAATATAGAGAATGAGAAACTCTCTAATAAACTCACGATTCTGTAACGAATGCTGCATTCTCGAGCTAGTACAGAAGGCGTTGCTCTTGACAACAACGAAAACTAAAGGAGAACTGGATAAGAATTGAACTGTAAAATCTGGGGATCTTTATCTTTGTCCTAACAGGAGGTATAATTTTTTTCTTCATAAACCAATCGATAACATTCTAAAAAGGTCTAGTAGCGAGCTAAAGATTTACAATGTTTATCCAGATGTGTGCTTATTGCACATATCTTTGGTTGTGTTTATTACCCGGAACACAACTAAGGTCTGGAACAAAGATCCTCAAAAGAAAAGGACTCGAAAACAAAAAGTTTCCTGGACATCTGGAAAGATCATGTTTCCCAAGTAAACAAAGGTCTCTAACGCCCATATTTGAAACTTGTTTCACGTGAGATACTCGAATCCAGAGTTAGATGTGAATTTTTTCAACAGAATCACGATTACAAGTGTAACGTTACATGCATCATACGACTCGACAAAATAATTCAAATCTAACTTGAAATTTCGATCTTACATGAAACAAGTCTCAAGTAACGACTATTGATACGGGTTTAAGAGGGAGAATTCTAAGAAGCGACGTTTTGCGGCGCGCAACAGCGCGCAGCGTGAGTTTCATTGAGGCAAATTGCAACTTCATTAAGACGACGACCGTCGACAATATCGATGAAAGCAGAAAGGCACTTGCTGCGAGCGCCTCAACAAAAGACACGTCGGTTCCGAAAGTAGGTCGTTCGTACAAAACTCCATTACTCATCCGTCCTTGCGTACATGGACGGGGGTGACGAGTCGGTAACGTCAGAAACCAGGCAGGCTGTAAATAATGCGTTCGCGCAAAATTAGCGAGCGGACGCAGCTCGATATATTTTCGTTACGTGGACATTTACTGTTTTTAATTGCTGTCCAGATGTTTAACGCGCGGCGAAGACACTTGCGATAACACAGTAAGCACGATGGAAACACGCCATCGTCCAGAATTAAGGCAGTCAGTCTCGCGGCTGCCTGCTTAAAACAAGAAAGCTGAAGAACTCTCACTAAAAGTGAAATTGGACGATCGTCCGACATGTCAGCCGTTAGAAGAGTCAGTGAAAATGAAAATGAAAACGATATGAATTTTCATATGCGATCATATCTCGTGGGTGATTTTCCTGTTCGCGTTCGACGTCGAGTTTCTCGTAATGAAAATATGATAGGACACGATGACGGGCAAAAGTGGTATAGAGATGGACTAGATTGATATTACACTATACATATATATCTCTCGAGTGTTGTGTACAGCCTGTATACTTAAAAATTAACAATTGTTTGGAGTATTTGGAAATGTGATTAATTGATTGCAAGTGTCATTCCTTGGATATATCTCTTTATGTCAACGTACTTTGTAGGAATCTTCGGTACGCATTTTTTTGTTTTTGACGTCGTCAATCAAGAGTTTAGCAGCGAGTAGCCAAGAGCTTTAACAGCCGTTACTTGAAACTTGCCCCACATGAGATACTTGAAACTTGTCCCACTCAGATCTGAATTTGTAGTTAGATTTTAGCTTTCTCTATTTGGGTCATCCCTATATGTATAAAATAGAAAATATCTACTTGTTCTCCCTATAAATTTTTAAACCTTTTGATCAACCTGGAATAAATTTTTCAGTTATAATTCAGTTATAAATTATTCAGTTTTAAATTCAGATTTTTTTTTAATGAGTTTTTCTATTAAATCACGGCTACAGATATATAAATGTTACACATTTATTATAATTCAATTGAAAAACTTGAATCTGATTCTGAATAAATTATAAAAAAATAATATATAGGGCTTATATTAATAAGCTCATATGAGGCCCATATTAATAACTGTCATCTGAAACTTATCTCATATGAGATACTCAGATCTTTATCTCGAGTTAGATTCAAGGTTTCAGTTGAATTATATAATAAGAGTGACATTTATGTTTGTAATCGCATGATTCAACTGAAAAACTCTCTATCCATCTCTGAATTGAAATCTGAGTATTTCTTCTGAGAAATGTTTTAAATAATGGTTATTAATGCAGACCTTAGTATGACCGCTGCTACAATCTCGAGATTTCTCAGAATTAAAAGTTTCACTGAAAATGCACTATTTCTCAGAATACGAATTTACGTGTCTACGTGGTGAAAGTATCTTTCTCTTTCTTCGAGCATGAAAAAATTTGATTTCCTTGGAAATCCTAAGTTCCAACGATCTGGCCATCTTTTTCTTCTTTTCGAGAAACCAGCTGTCGCGTATCGCGCCATGACGCGAAAGTATACACGAGAAGTGCGTTCACAGAAGAAACGACAAGTCGCTGACACGGTAGATTACGCTCAAATCCACCGCGGAATCAATATATTATTCAGAAAGTCAATTCATCAGCAGAACTTGCTCTTACATAATTCATCGGCTGCGCGACTATAAATATTCTTCGATTATCTACAAAGTAGGCTACATGCAAACGATTATAACGCGCAGATAAGCTATGTGGACATTAGTGCTGAGGGACGATCAATACGTTCGTCTCGTCAGGTCTCTGATATGCTGTCTCAGCAATAAATATGGTTTAATGATTGGAGGCGTCGTCTCGTTTTCGCGCCGCCAAATTGCCGAAGCTTCTTTCGCGGACGATATGCTCTGAAAAGCAATTCGACTACCGACTTGTATGTATATTACTGCCGCGGACATTGCATTCGTAATTACCGCGGAGCTAATTTCTCCTTAAGGTCTTTTTATACTAGAGCATTAAAGCTAACGACTGTGAGCGTTAATGTCGAGTAAAATTTCCAATTCAACGGACGTTAATAATGGATATGGACAATGGAATTATCAAATTGACTAATTATACGCAAATTAATTCCACTCCTCGTCGTTACCCGCGCGATTTATTTTAATAACGACGCGAACTAGTGGCGCGTCTTTCGGATGCGCTTGTTTTTAATCGCGCAAATTCAATGAATATATGACATACTGTAATCAGTTTACCATTATACTCGTCCATGTTGTCGATTATCGGGATCAATGTGCACGTTAATGACATCGTTGACTTGTAGCTGGCAAATGTTTTTCGAGGAACATAGCGTGTCCGCGTAATGAGCCGCCGTATTTAAGATGACACAAATTAACGAAGCATGAGGGATTCACGGCATTGCGCGAACCAATTCCCACCCCACCGAAATTGTAAACACAGAATTGTATTTTCCAAATGTTATTTCGCGCGATCGGCATCAGGCTCGTTTGAACGATATGATGGGACATTGCAAAGACATCCCATCGCGGTGATACGCGTTTATGCACGTAAGTGAGCAAGGAGGATACACACACACATATACGTATCAGTCAGATTCCGTGTGCGTGTACGGAGCACACGCGCGTGAACGCGCGCGCACACACACAGTGACACGACCGCGAAATTAATTCCAATTTACATACGTACACGGAGAGCGGCACCCAAGGACGTGACTTGTATATATATATGACGCGAGCCTCCTTAAGACTAACTAAACTATACTCAACGAGGTGCGTGAGTTGTGCGCAGGTTGTCCTAGAGACGACGCATGTCTCGTTTCGGCTCTGATCATCGGTTGGAGTTTACTCTCAATACACCATCAGGACTCCTTGGACTCAATTATAGCTTCCAAGTCTATTTTAAACACTTTCAACTATTTTCAAGAACTGACATTTCACGACGTTTATTTTGATTGATTTTATTTCTTGAAGATATTATTTTTATCTCTATTATTTTAAGTTTATCTCTATTATTTTCTTCTTTATAAAATAAACAAAGAATTTACTTATTCTTTTTATAAAGGAATAAAAATAAAATGATTGATTTTATTTTTTAGAGATTTTATTTTCATTGGGTTTTTATTTTCTTCTATAAAAACAAAATAAAAATTTAATTTCTTTTTTAATAGAATAAAAATGAAATTATTGATTTTTATTTTGACTGATATCGTTGCTTAGAGAATTTTTTTTAGTTCCTATTATTTTCTTTTCTTGAAAAAACAAAGTAGAACTTACTTATTTTTATTATAAAACAAAATTCATTCTATTTTATCATATAGTATGGTATATTAAAAGTGAAATTGACACGGATGACTTAATACAAGAAAGAAAAAGGAAAGAAGCGCTGGAAGTCTGTGAAAGACCAACTGCTATTGATGAAATTAATCAGCAAGAAATATACTTTCCGCGAATGTATCGAAACTGAGACAGATAATTTACTTGTCGTATTACACGACATCACATAGCTCTACCTCGTCGCGAGCTTAGATCTTATCACGAGGACAAAAAGCCCATACATGCCAAGCGTCGCGTAGGCGATTTTCTGTTTCTTCGAGTATATTGATTTTTAACCGCTTCGTGTACGTATATCTGATCATAGAATATGCAAAGTATCTCAAGGCCGTGTCAACATTAACAGCACACACTGGTAGAGCACTGTGGCGTCGGTTGACTTTTCGAATTGTAAAAGATAGAAGGAAAGTTAAGCTTCAAAGACGGAAATAAACAAAGAAATAATTGCAACGGCTGTTTTTTCAAGAGATATCGCGCTTACGCGGAAATTTCGTATGATGCTTCGTTAAACTGTGTGACATATCACCAATGTTGCACAAATTTGAAAGTCATGTTAGGAGGAAATTATTAGTTAGATAGTTGATTATTAGTTAGATAATTTCGCGTAATTTCGCTCACACAAATATAATTTTATCGCAATATATCGCGCGACGCACTGATCATCATACAGCTAACTATAAACACAAAGATTGCTTCCGCGAACGAATAATAAATCATCGCACAGCTATCTCTCATCTCTAGTCTTTGTAGTATTTACCGAATTTAAGAAGCACGTATACGTCACATGAATTTCTGCTAATTGCCAGTTTTCGCGAACTGACGTTACCAGTTATAATAACCAGTTATAATACCAGTTATAATACCAGTTATAACGCTCATAATTAGAAACGCAATTAGAAACCGTTAGAATTTTTAATTAGTGGGCGAGTTCTGCGCCGCATGTTATCTCCGTCTTATCTCGCATGCATGATACAGCTGCGTCGCTATTTTCATAGTAAACTGATCTTGGAACGAGCAGAATCTCTCGATAAGAATTGCGTGATAAAAATGATCAAAGAACTCTGCACGAAAGAAACGCCGCGAATTGGTGTTGCATCAGTCCCAATAAATTTCGTTTTATTTTTATCCGAGTCCGTCTGGATGCTTTATCTTAAAATTGTTATTCTCTCTCGGCGATCTTCGGCACGGTCGTA